AGTTTTTTGGGGGTGTGGGTGGTGGTTTTTTTTTTTTTTTTTTTGTTGCTTCTCATTTGTGTAGTTCCTCACCCAAAAAAGGTGCCTCACTCCTGCCATAAATAAAGACAATGTAAAACCTTTTGTGTTGTACATACTATTTTACTTTATTTAAACATAAAGCCTGGCCAACAAGCCCCCATCTGGCTGCAGCATTATAACACTCCTACACCCTCCCCTCCCCCCCCACCAACCTTGAGCCCATCATACTCCTGAACCCCCTGCCCTGAGCCCTTCATACATCCACATCCCCAGTCGCCTGCCATAACCCTCCTGCACCCCCACACACCCCAACCTTGTGCCCTGAGTCCATCATACACCCAAATGTCCTGCCCTGAGCCCCTTATATACCCCAACCCAGATTCCTGCACCCCCACACCTCTAGCCCCCTGCCAGAAGATTGACAGATGACAGCCTGAATGCGTGCATAAAGCTGGATTTGACCAGTTATGATGTAATCAAAGAAATGTGCAAAAATATGCAGCAGCAGAAGTTCCATTAAATAAATTCTATGAGTACAGTGTTTCGTTTATGGTATTAATCATGTCAATTATCATTAATATTAAGTTGTGTATTTTCAGTCATGCAAATAAGCATTTTTTTTTTTACTGGCTCTTTGTTGACCACTTGTTCCGAATTTTGATGTAGTTTGGCTCTTTGATTTAAAAAGGTTGCTGACCCCTGCTCTAAGAAATGTGGATGACATAGTGAATGGCTTTGCGAACATGGGCTGGGTTGAGGCTCATTGTGATGCCCAGTTACTATGACAGAGTTAGCCCAGTCCAGGCTTCAGCCTTTTAGTTCTTGCAGTGGGCCCATTCTTGTGAGTCTGCAAAAATTCAGACTCAACATAGAGCAAGTCCCTCCTGAAGTAGGCAAAAAGGTCAATGGCACTACCTTACTTAATGGGTGCCTGGGTAACAGCTGTAATGGGTTCCTTATAGCCAGGTAACCTGGGCAGTTTCTCCCTTTTAGGCTTGTCCTGGGCATTTGCCAAGTGAAGTTTCATCCTTTAAACACTGCCAACCTGTTAGCACACGGAGCCTCCATAGTCTTTTCCCTTTCAGGACAAGGATTATACTCCTCATTGAAATTATATTTAAATACTCTAGGGCAGTGGTCCCCAACACGGTGCCCGCAGGCGCCATGGTGCCCGTGGGGCCATTTGTGTGCTCCCGCCAAGTGCTCGGGGCTGGCCTGGCCCTGGGCACGTGGCACATGTATGGTGCCGGAGCCGGCCCAGGCGCATGGCGAGTGCCGGCCCCGGGAACGCCGCGAATTAGCTCATTGAAATTATATTTAAATACTCTAGGGCAGTGGTCCCCAACACGGTGCCCGCAGGCGCCATGGTGCCCGTGGGGCCATTTGTGTGCTCCCGCCAAGTGCTCGGGGCTGGCCTGGCCCTGGGCACGTGGCACATGTATGGTGCCGGAGCCGGCCCAGGCGCATGGCGAGTGCCGGCCCCGGGAACGCCGCGAATTAGCTGCCCGCCCTCTGGGCGTGCGGCGTGTGGAGGGGCGGGGCTGGCCCTGGGCGCGCGGCGCTTGGGCGGGGGGGCGGCTC